TTTTTTTTTTTTTTGGTAAGTCAAAGGAATTAAATGTCCACACCATCAAAGTAAAGAAATAAAGTTGATTACGGTAGCTGATACAGCACAATGTTTAGAAGGTTATATGTGACTACTTTTGTAGAAAAAACCCCAAATGTATAGCAGAGGACAAACTGTTTCAGGGCATTTGTTATGTAGCAAGAGTTCATACTAGTTACAGCTTTCATATTATAGTTCATGATAATAAGTTTAATTTTAAAAGTGTTTACTTTTGCCTTACAGTAGCTGCAGCATTAGTTTACATAATGTGATTGGGATGATGTTTTCATAGGCTTTTTGTTATTGCAAGATTTCTTTCTAAGTGTTTGATAGACGTGACCTTGTATTTGCTTTGAGGTTCAAAGTAATGCACTTATCTTGCAATTCAGGTGGCTAAGAGCAAGCACCTGGTAAGATAAGACAGGTGAGCTCATAGTTAAGCATTTAAAACATCCTAACTCGATTGCATTTAATTATATGTCTGAATATTTATATTCAAATGTAACTCTTCCAACCAAAATTACTTCACAAACTTTATTCACAGCTTATTGCAACTAAGTGAGAGATGAATCTGGTCCAAAAAATATTTAAAATGGATTTTTCTATCCATTTCAATATGCTATTCTAGAAATTAGGCTTTGTGCTGACAAAAGTGAGAGAATAGGTGACTCGAAGAGTATCTTCCTCAGCAGATCAGGAGGAATATTATATCTTCCTTATAAAACAAACCAGGACGAGAAGCCAGCTGGTTCAGAGGTGGGATTTGACATCAATGTAAACAGCATTCACAGATTTACAGTGCATTTCACAACACCTGATTTTTTCTTTAAGTTCTACAATTTCTTTAAGTTGAACAATTATAGAAACTGTTCCATTTAACTTAAACAACAGAAAACAGAAGAGTGAATTTCTCGTCCTGCAGGCTGCAGGGAAATGCTTGGCAATCAACAGGATGAAGTCGTCTGATTTCTGGCAGGGTTATAACCCATGTCCCTCTCCTTCCCTGCCATGAGAGCAGCTCCTCCATACTCCTGTAACTCTCCCTTTTCTCAGAAATGTCTTGGTTCCCTTCCATGTCCACTTGGTCCACCTCCAAAACAAGCTCAAATCCCATCCTGCTCCATATCTATTTTTTCTAGGTTGCTGGCCCAGCAAGGGATGACCATGCTGTAGATGGTCCAGAGCTATCAGCATGCTGACTAATGACGAAGAAGCACAAGCTGATTGGCTAATTAGAGGCTGCCAAAAAGGATGGGTAATGGTTGGGCTCCATTTGCCTTCTCCTCAGGGAGGGCATTAGTAATCTCCTTTTCCTCTACACAGTCACTGTTTTTCCATAAAACTCACAGTAACACAGTGTCTGAAACCTCTATATTGGTCAAATTTGTTGGGGGTGGGTTTGCGTTTTTTTTTCCTTTTTTTTTTTTTTTTTTTTTCAGGTTTTCCAATGAGTACAAAAGCTCCTGGTGGAAGGGGGAAAGGAGAGGAGAAGTTGACAGGTAGACAGTTCCTTTCCTTTAGAAAGGAACATTCTTACTTTTTTTGGTCTTGGGGGCCTGAGCCATGATCTTTGAATAGCCAGGATTGGGAGTACTATTCACTATTGGCAGGCACGGCGGGTAGAATGACACAAATCCCAAAGATAATATTAAAATGCCATAAAGTTCAGTAAGATATGCATTTCATTTTTAACTCTTCTTTAGTTTTGCTGGCAGCAATGTGTTGGGATATATTTTTTGTTTGTTTGTTTAAATTATTTTTTGCCAAATAAATTTTTGGAACAACTTTTACCCGGTCACTTTATCACTTACTTTTCTCACCTCTGTCACCTACAGTTGTAGTCATCACTTTCCAAAAACACTACAATGAAAGTCAGAAAGAAAAACAAATTGCATATTGTAGTATTATTATTATTAAAGCAATTAGATCCTTCAATAGCTCCAGATCAAGTACAACTGTTTAAGCTCTCTTCCAAATTCTTGCAGTCTCATTAAAAAGAAAAAGCCAGCAACAACAAAAGATGAAGAGAAAGGTATTCTACTGACAGCCTAGAGTTATTCAGAGTATGTGGATACGAAGTGCATTTTATGAGGAAAATACTGGAAAAATACTGCTCTTGGTTATGCGGCCGCTGGTGAATTCTGGGGCACTTTTGTCATCCTTGGTCAGTATGCGCTGCTCCAGCTGCCGTTGCTGCCTCCTACTTCTAAACAGCGAGCAGAGGCACGGTGCTCTGTAAGATCTGTTTGCCACCATGTGTCACCTTGGTGGCTGAGGGCAAGCTCAGCTCTTGCTCAGCGCTCACTGGGCTTTCAGGCATACAAGACAGGACTTTGGTCCTGCAGTCAGAACCAAACGCTAAAGGGGCCCTTTTTGCAGATCAATGGAATGGTTGCAGAATATTGGGAAAAAAAACCCACACCAAAGCCTGAAGTTCTCCATGCTCATGATGAGCCACAGTCAGAGTGGGAAGCCCTTGAATGAGAAGGAGGAGCAGGCCAGGTACCAGTGTGGCCACCGGGCAAGCTGCTGCAGAGCACATTCAAAGAGGAGTCATGGTGCTGGAGGCATCGCTTGTGCTGAGCACTTCTCTTGTGCCCTGTCCAACATGAGAGGCTTATAGCCACAGTCTGCCAGAGCATTTAATTACTCTCATATTAATGACTGCTTCGTTATTTCCACCTGTTTATTGATGGATTATTGTTCTCTTTAAAACTGTTTCTGGTGTGAAACCTGGTACCTGTCAAGGTTTCCACCTGGGGTAGATTCCCTTTTATACCCAACTGGTTAATTCATTCTGGTTTAAAATAAAAAATAATAAAAAGCAGTTTTATTATGAAAATCACTGTCATAATAGTAAACAAATAAAATAAAAAAACTAAACCCCCAAAAAATTCACCAACAGCATCAGTGCTTTTCAAAAAGATTCTTACTGTGAATCATCCTATGCATCTTCCATAAAAATACTTTTCCAGCACTTGAAATGCACTAAGAATCTGTTTAAAATATGTTATAGGCATGGCAGGCAGTCTCGGCTGCAAACTCAGATCTATCCTGACTTCTAGTTCCAGTGAACCACGTGTTGATAGTAGCTGCACTGGTATCTTGCGTAAAAAGCAAATTCTCAGGAGCTAAGTTCTCCAACTGCTTGCTTCAGACATGAATTTTGGCTGAAATCAGAATATCAGGGTCTGACCCTAAAGCCATAGGCCTGGAATGTGCAAGAATGATCCATCTATTGCTTGCATCAACCTTACACCAGGGTAGGACAATCAATTTCAATTGAGTGCTCATGATTTACGTCACTGGTCATGAGCTGAATATTAGGCTCAGTTCTGTGCTATGCAGTGAATTTGCACGCCCTGGAGAGGTGATACAAAATCAGGCAGAAGAAAGCACTTTGAAAGTTCTGTCTCGCATCTTTCTACATACCAACATTTTTCCTACATGAACATATGCAAATAAACCCTGTTTGCCACATTTTAAAGTGCACTCAGAATAGAAAAAGAAGAGAAACTCAGTGAGAAACTGACAATTCAGTCCTAACTTAGATAGGCAAACTTTGGCATATTGAAAGAAATACCAGGATTTGTTTGCTGTAATACACAGATTCCAAATATACACAACATATAAAAATTCCAGGATTTCTTCTTGCTGTAATATACAGCCTATGCTGAACAGTAACCCCTCAGGCCCCCTCCACCTCCCCAGCTAAGCGCGAATTCCATAATTCTTGCTAAGGGCACATCGAAAGTGAACTACATTGCTGTAAGATTTTTTATAAGCCATAAGCCATGTATTTTTATAAGCTATGTATCTGTCTTATGCAGAAAGCATATTAAAACTGTAATGTGTACAGAGAACTTACAAATATTTGAGTAGAAAGCAAAAGAAAGCACAGAAAGGTACCACTTAAATTGGCATAATACAGACACATTTTGAACTAATAAAAGATGACATGGAAAAAGAAGATATGCTCACAGTAGAGATTTAAATGTTTTAACTCTTTTAATACTTTCACTAGTAATGCAAAAAGCAAGCTTTATTGTTTCTGTACAATATTAGACTCAGTAGCTAAAGATATTTCTTAAAAGTACCTTTGCTACTAAAGATCTCTCAATATTTAATTTCCAGCCAGGATTCTGCTGACATAGTGACAGTATGAAGAGGGGACAGACTCATTTTTCATAATTGACTGTTAATTCAGTAAGGGATTTGTTCTGTTGATTTTGATATCTACTAAAGGGACAAACAGATAAAATATGCATTTACAGCGAGTCATATATGCACAAGATCTTTATTACTGCTTCAGCTAGAACCTAGCAGGAAAACCCATTAAGGTTTTCTGAAATATGAACTGCTCAATATATTTTAGCTGTTGAACAACATAAGTTAGCACTGTTTGCAACGCATTTCCAAAGTATTTTTTCCCTGCCTGCAAACAGTAATCCCCTGGGATTTTCTTTTAAATAGCAGAAACTTTCAAGTCAAAAAAACTGGTAGAAGCCTAAAGCACGTTTAGAGAGACGTCTGTCTTGATTCATAGTACAAGTACACGGTTGGTATACATTTAAGAATGACAGTGCTGTCTTTCAGTACTGCTGCCCACAATACTTGGAAATATATCCTTTCAATATGCGAAGACATATCCTCTCCGAAGCACCCAGATAAATCAGTTCACCCTTGGCTGTAACTAAATGCTGTCTAGTGACTTGTGATCGACAGGGCTTTACCCTCTGACAGCCAGATTCATTGTTGGGACAGCAACCAATCGTCGGGTTTGACGACATGAGCCTAATCAAAGTTGGAGTATAAAAAGCCCCCTTGGAATATATAAGGTACACCAGTGTGGCAAGCTGTCTCTCAGATTGCATTTGCTTTCACGGATCTGTTTAGTACTAAAAGGAAAAGGGAAAAGGGGAGGGGGGAGAAAAAAAAAAAGAAAAAAAAAAGGAAAAAAGCTGCAGTGAATGTGAGATCATGCAAAAGCTAGCAATCTATGTTTATATTTACCTGTTCATGCTGATTTCAGTTGATCCGGTGGCTCTTGATGACGGTAGTCAGCCCACAGAGAACGCTGAAAAAGATGGACTGTGCAATGCTTGTACGTGGAGACAGAATACAAAATCTTCCAGAATAGAAGCCATAAAAATTCAAATCCTCAGCAAACTGCGCCTGGAACAAGCTCCTAACATTAGCAGGGATGTTATTAAACAACTTTTACCCAAAGCTCCTCCACTACAGGAACTGATTGATCAGTATGACGTCCAGAGAGACGACAGTAGCGATGGCTCTTTGGAAGACGATGACTATCATGCCACCACCGAAACGATTATCACAATGCCTACGGAGTGTAAGTAACCCTGCTGCTTTCACCTCCCACCGCTCCTCCGAGAGAGTTGTCTCCCTGCTGTAGAGCCACGCAACTCCTCCTCGGGCTCTCCCAACAGGCTGCTGGCTGAAGTCTGCTAGAGGGAGGGAGGAGAGCGTTATTTCTAAAGAATTCGAGCCAGGTTCAGATGACCGTGTTGTGATCCTTTGTTTTATTGTGCGGTTTTCGGCTCCTTATAACGCCTGTGCCCTGTAGCACTCAGGATTTGCCCATTGCCTTAGAAAGCAAAGGGAGATCTGCAGTTTAGTTGACTTCGTTATCTGCAGTGCTCAGGGCACTTCCTATCACAAATATAAAGTACAAGTGCAGATAATGAGATAACTATATTTTTCTGAGGGAGGTTTCACTGGCCAGTATTTTTAGAAGCAATAGAAATCAGCAGCAATACAGCTTAGAGCACTAGACCTGCCTAACTGCAACATGCACTTGCAGTGCAAGTAGAGAGTTAAATTCTTGCTTCTTTGCTGATCCCATAAACTAGCACCACCTACCTCTGAGTTAAAACTATATATTTAAAGCAAATATGTGTGTAACCGATTTAAATGTTAAAATGTCCATGCTATAGCAGTCAGCCCCAGTAGTCGTGCCAAGGAAGAATGAAGGCATTTACTGAATGAGCAGATTCTGAGTTATCTTCTGAGTGCTAAACATCTGCCACGGCTCCTATCAAGTATCTTTTGCACGGCTAATACTATAGTATCTTATGTTCTTCATCAGCTAAAGTATTTGGCTATGGCAGCTGCTTTTTAAAATAACACTTACGAATATGATGTCAAAAAGGAAAAAGATGACAGGACATATAAGGCATGTTAGCAGTTACAGATATCGTTAGAATACACATGCAAGAATAATATATCGGCTGCTCTAGCCAGCTAAAAATGTATGCATTGATGAAAAAGTAACTTTATCTGTAAAATTTTTTAACAGTCATTAATAAGATGTGTACTTAATAGCAATATATTACTGCAGCCTTATCACAAAGTTGAGGTCTGCCAGCAGTTTTATTCCAGCCTATTATGTCCAAGGCTTTATAACTATTTTTAATTAAACTGTTATATAATTACAATGACTGAAGAAAAGTCATTGTACTTCATTGATCTGAGTTCCTTTCCTGCTTTTTATAAAAAGCCCTTGAACTATTTTAAATGCACTAAAGAGACAGGTATCTTAAGTGGTGAGATTTATGCACGTCAAAGCCCTGCACCATTTAAGATTAGTATTACCCATTTTATCCTGGCATGGAAAGATATTGCCATGACTAGGTATGACAGCTGCATCGTAGTCTACAGGAAGGAGGAACGCAGTGCTGCACGTGACTTTCCTATAATATTGTTCAAATGAAAAGAAAACAAAATGATCCTTAAATTAATACTCTTTCAATCGTTTGTTTTTCCATTGAGAACAGAAATTAAAGTGTTCATGTAGACTGCCCACGGCTGTCTCTGTTTGTACAATGTGCAGCACACTAAGGCTATTTAGTAAATTAGAAATAGCTAGATCACCACATACATATTGAGTCAGCTTATGCAAAGTTGTTATTCCACATGCTTTATGAAGGTCCTCAGCAGATGACTAATAGAAGTAAGTTGGTAGTAGTCACTCTGAAGTGGAATAGGCTGTGCCCTCTCCCCAGATAGTTTTTGTTTGGGAAAGAGGCTATTTTGCAGCTGTAGAGGTCAGCCCGCAGCACTGGTACCACTGGTCAGAGCCCACAGCACGCCAAGGACCACAAAGGTCCTACACAGTGTGCATCTTCTCGTGACTGCCCATCATTTCCCAGTTTCAGCCTGAGCACACCTCCACTCTGCTTAGTCTATGGATCACAAAGCACTACGTAGAATTATTTAGAAGATGATTAGCCAAACCTCATTTTAGCCTGTTTACAAAATGATCATCTGTTCCTTGTCAGCTGATGTTACTTTTAGGTGATAGCATAATGATTTTGTTGACATCTGTTAAATTTGCTGTAGAGCATAAACCACAGAAAATGAACTAAGTTAAATCTACTTTGTTACTGATACTGTTTATAACATATTGTAAGACTTCCTACATGGTCTGGAAAAAAAATAATGGGGTTTATATATGCGTATTTCTTTTTGTTCCCTGTTCAGTAATCTGTTCTTTCCATTCATTTATAGCTGATTTTCTTGTACAAATGGAGGGAAAACCAAAATGTTGCTTCTTTAAGTTTAGCTCTAAAATACAATATAACAAAGTAGTAAAGGCACAATTGTGGATATACTTGAGGCAAGTCCAAAAACCTACAACAGTGTTTGTGCAGATCCTGAGACTTATTAAACCCATGAAAGACGGTACAAGATATACTGGAATTCGATCTTTGAAACTTGACATGAACCCGGGCACTGGTATTTGGCAGAGTATCGATGTGAAGACAGTGTTGCAAAATTGGCTCAAACAGCCCGAATCCAATTTAGGCATCGAAATAAAAGCTTTTGATGAGAATGGACGGGACCTCGCTGTAACTTTCCCAGGACCAGGTGAAGATGGATTGGTAAGTTTATTTAGAAAAATCCCATTTATCTTGCATTTTATTGGAAAGCATTTAAGTTGTGTTTTAAGGATAAAATGAAGCATTGTTTAGGGAGTGGAATATACAAGTTCTTTATAGCCAAATCTTTCCTTCTTTGCTCTCTGATCATGTCAAAATCAATAGCATTCCTGTGCCTCTGTTTCCCTAATTGAGACAAATTGCAGTACTTCAGTAAGATGTTGAGAGGCATTAACTGGAAAATGTTTTCGTAATTATTGATGGATGGTACTATCAAAAGTAACCTTGTTTTCAAATTTGAGAGCAAATACTGTTTAATAAGCAGTAAAGCTAAAAAGAATAGCCGTTGGATTATTTCATTGATGGGAAAGCATGATGCCTTCGATAGTGCTGAGAAAGCTTTTTGCATTCAAACTGTGAGGGAGTTTCTCCCTATTCTATATGCATATATTTTCTGTTAACACCACCAATAATTCTCTATGTTTATAAACATGAGAACAGATCTTCTTCATAATGTTGTGCACATTTCAGTAGATAGAGTACATGTGATAGAGTGATAATGTGATAGAATGCATCGTTCCACCTGTTCAAAATGTTTGAATAGAGAAATTCTGCTTGATACAATAAGTGGATCATAATTATTTCGTGCTATTTCCCATCATTATCTGGTTTCATTTTGTAAGTATAGATGAGCAAATAAAACCTGAAGTTTACCAGTTAAATTACAGCATTTTCCTCATTATTTGTTTCTGCAAATCACCAATCCTCTACAATCTATAACAATTCCTGAACTTATCACAGCTGAAACAATCACAACCAAGAAATCCCTCCTTCTGAATAAAGTATAAAGAATATTATTTTACTTTTACTTGTATGCAGTAGATCAACCTGTAGATCATAGAATCACAGAATTGTTTGTGTTGGAAAAGACCTTTAAGATCATCATATTTATGTAGCTATGTAATGTTCGACTTCATAGCAATATAATGTAGTTAAAAGAATTTAAAGGAAAAATGCTGTGATATCTCAACTGCAGATTCAGTATAGATGTGGATCTCCCACACTTGAAACAGGCCAGCTGGATATCATGATAAGGAACATCCTCACCACCTTCATCCATTCAAATACCCAACACTGTGTTTTCACACATGTGGATAACCCATGGTTATCATCATCTGTAAAAACAAACCCATTCAGTAGCAGGGGAGTGTTAGATGCACACCTGATAGTGGGAGAGGAAATTTCTCTTCTCTCCGGCTCCTCTCTCTCCCGCAGCTCCTAGCAGAGGGATGCTCCTCTCACCAAGCCCCTCCCCCTACCATTTACCTTTGAAAGGAGGGTCTCCAGCAGCTGGACAACTTGCAGCCATAAAGGCGGGTATCTTGGAAGGGACAAACCCGTGTAACAAAGTTAGCTGGGCTGCTATTTACTCCCAAGGAACGGTCTTCCTTCATGGAACAGCCCATTCAGTGCCAAACCAGCACACATGGGGCTGAAACCAGCGAGTGGAAGGGAGGAAACTTTGGGAACTTTTTCAAACTCGTGATTGCGAAGGTTGTAATTTCTTTCTATTCTCAGTTGGTGACTGTGGAAACACACCTTCGCTAGGAAGCATGTGGCTCAGAGATCTGCCAAAAGTACATTCCTGGCCACAGGGCTCTTTCAGGAGTCAAAATATTAGCTGCTCCTCCAGATTCAGTATGGCAAATTCAGCCCTCTGGCAAAGGGGAAAGCTGTGAAGTGCAAGTAACCTGTATCAGCAGGTGAAACACTCCTTTCCACTGCCACTGCAGTCATTCAATGACAGCAATTATGGAGTGATTTTTCTCCTCCTTGGTTTAGACAAGAAGCCTTCCTTGGTATCCAGAAAGCCTGAACTAAATACGACTTTAATGGAGGGAATTTCAGAAGGACTCACAAAAGGGAGACCAACACCAGTCAGTCCTGCCCTTGAAAAGTTTTTGGAATTCTTTGCTCCCTTTTGGAAGTTTTTCCATAGAAAAAAGAAGTGGCTCTTACTATGGGGTTTAAAACAAACAAACAAAACCCCACATCAAAAGTAAAAATCCAGCATCCTCCAAATATCTGAAACCTTTTAGCAGTTAACAGAAATGATGCTAGCAGATGATAGTGATTTCAGAAAGAGATACTGAGAAATTAAAGCTCTTTATAGAGAAACAGCAGGGAAATGCTGGTCCTCAGCATGAAAAAGAGGAATACTCCTTGAGCAGAGATCAACTGTACCAGAACTTTGCTGGAGGACAAAGTATTGTTTGCAAAAATTATTTGAGGATATTTATTTGATACGTCTCTCTGAGATATTATCTATTTGCATGTTTTTACTGAACTTAGGTTTACCTCAGTAATGCTTCTGATCCCTTCTCCTCTCCTCACAGAACCCATTTTTAGAGGTCAGAGTCACAGACACCCCAAAACGGTCCCGCAGAGATTTTGGCCTCGACTGCGACGAGCACTCGACAGAATCCCGATGTTGTCGCTACCCGCTGACAGTGGATTTCGAAGCTTTCGGATGGGACTGGATTATCGCACCTAAAAGATACAAAGCCAATTACTGCTCCGGAGAATGTGAATTTGTATTTTTACAAAAATACCCGCACACTCACCTTGTGCACCAAGCAAACCCCCGAGGTTCGGCAGGCCCTTGCTGCACACCCACCAAGATGTCCCCCATAAACATGCTGTACTTCAACGGGAAAGAACAAATAATATACGGCAAGATACCGGCCATGGTTGTAGATCGCTGCGGGTGCTCATGAGATCGTCGTGAGATCCACCGCTTCATAAATTGTGGAAGCTACAGAGAAAGAGAGGAAAAAAAATAAATTATACCCCCTTACCAGTCTTTGAAACTGTGAAGTTACGTACGCTAGGCATTGCCGACATCCTATACGCTGTATGATAGGCTATTGTACAGATTTAGTGCAGCATCAGCAGAACATGAACTAAAGGACGATCTAGTTACCTAACGGCTGGCTTTGGGCCAGCGAACAAGAAAAGCTACAATCAAGATGACCGGATTTAATACATGAAGTTCTTACATTGTGAGGGAATCAATATTCAGTCATTCAGACGCAAATTTATATGCAGGTTTCAATACATGTTGGTAATCAAAAGCAAGCTCCTTCTCATCTGAGGACAGAAGGAGCAGGCTTTTAAGTCCATTTCTTCACAGCTTCACTTAATATTGTATTTACAGGAAAATACATACTGGTAACATATACACCACTACACAATACCACCAGAATCATCCTTAAACACTTGAATATATAGTGCAGAATTGTGAAATGTATCAGATGAAATTCCACATATATGGACAAATCCTGAAATTAGGGATGGCATAGTGTATTTAGCGTGTTTCCATTCCTTTTTCTCATTAGTATGTTAGTAATCAATGGCAATGGTGCTACGTAAGCAGGCTGAGTAAATCGAGAGACAGTTATCTAAGCAAAAGAATTTAGAATAATAACGAATTTGCCCTATCCTCAGGTACACTATTCAACATTCGCAAGAAACAGATGTTTTTTAAATGAAAGGGAATAGTTTTCTAGACGTAGTGAAACAAAAGGCAGCAGAGAAGGCTAGCATTAAAATCATAATCCCACATTATAACCTGCCTTTGCAACATTACCATTTGCACTATGATAAACCAATGCAAATAGTTGGTTGCTACAGATATTGTTTAAAAAACCACTTTGATATAACTGACTTGTGTAATATGTATGCATCAATATTTTGTAAATAAATGTTTATTTTTTAATCACTGTTGGTATATGTTCATCGCAAGAAAAGAATGACTTTAACCTGTACTTTGGTTTAATAAACAAAACGAATATTCTCTTCATAATATAATTTCCTGGATTTTAACACAAATAATATGTAGGAACAATGCAACAAATTAAACCATATGTTGAGAATTATACTACATTTTATATGTTTTTTACATTGGTATGAGCCATCTGTGATAAATGATGGGTGTTGACATGTTTATAAGGTTCTTTGGGTTACTGTTTTTATGATCATTTTGATCCACAACTTAATTTCTGTACTTTGAATGTTATGTCCATAAATAATGATGATACCACAAAAGATTGCTATTAAATGCATTTTATTATATTTAAAAGTTTGCAGTAAAGTATTACCTTTATTTGAGTAAACATAGTACATGGATTCCCACACAAATTCTGTACATTTTCCTTACGGTAAAAAATTGTTCATTGAAATTAAAAAAAAAATCTATTTACTATAAAGTCCATTTCATTTCACATGTGAAATACAACTGATAAAACAGGTGTTTGTGAAGACAACACAATCACTGTTGAAACATCTTCATGTTAGTATGATACACATTTTCTTATATTCCAGAACTCAGTTCTGAATTTTCCTTTGTGTAAAACCACCCTAAACCCGCCAAAAACTGCTTGATTTTCTTTCCCTTCTTCTTTTATGTATTTTCTGCCCAAGTGGTAATTATTTTGTATTGAGTTTTCTACTTTTTTTTTATTTGTATGTAAGGACATTAAAATTTAAAGTTTGAGTGATGAGGTTTGAAACTTAGAAGCAAACAGATTTTCTATAATTTCTTTTGAATGATTAGGAGTTCTGCTAAAGCTGTGTCCGAGCATCAAGCAGATGTTCGGCTTCTCCTGATGGAGTTCATCAGAGCAGGTCTCTGGGGCCCTTAAATACACTTTCAATTTAGTTTCCCACAAAACACAATCAGAGTAAATAAAAGATAATTTAAAACCGCTTAGAATGCGGAATCTTGGTGAAGCCACAAGAAGTAAAAGTGCAACTCAATTCCTTCCCCTCCAAAAATCAAGCTTACAGAATTAAGGGAGAAAAACTAGTTTTGTGAAAGTTAACAGCAAAACTTCCACTGGCTTTAAGGCAGCCCAACGTTCTGCCCTTTGACTTTCAACTCGTGACATTCAGGCACCAGATAGTCCCATCCTGCTCATATGAACTATGAATAGCATCTCTCAGCACGAGGCATACCCAAAGCCTCTTAAACTGTACAGAGACTTCAAATGAACTTCCATTGTATACTGTGTAGTTAGAGCTTCGCTAGCTTTAATTGGGGCAGTTCATACAGCAACAGCCGCAGAGATGCGGCAGCATGGATTTTGGAGTTGATAACCAACAAAATATAACCCCACTCTGCACCAAAGTCTTCTTACAAAGCCTGCATGATTTTTTTTACCCCAGATAGCTAAACTAAAGCTAATGCAAATTTGGTTACCCCCATATAAGTGACATAATTGGCTGCCTAGTAATAACCGTACCCTGCACAAATGCGGTGCACAAGCAGTGAAAATTTTTTTTGCTGCTATCAGTAAAAACATAAATAAACCAAAAACGAGAAAAGAGATAATATGAATTCCCAAAAGCATCTATTCCAACCAGCATTCCATCTTGACATTCAGATAAATTTTATTCCATGGAGATTTTACGCAGTATGTACACTTCATATTTTGCCAAACAGCCAGCAGTCCTGGCTCCCAAGTTTTTAATATTGACCTTACATACAAGTGGCTACTCAAGGAACATGCACTGGGCTTTGGTCTTGTTGATTTTAGCTGCCAAATGATTCATAATTAATGTGTTTATTGGCAATCAACTTGAGATGTCAATGATTCATTCTGGTTTTATCCTTATACTTCCAAGGCTTAGGTCCTAGAGACTTCAGCAGCAACCATGAGTGTTTTGTGTGTCACTCAGATCTCACTGTTAAGCTGTGTACCCAGAAAAAGGCAACAATTGATAATTTCTGAGACAGGAACAGCCTCATTTCCTTCCCTGGCATCGTAGGAAGCCCACAGGAACAACACAGGAAGAATCCAGCTTTCAAGGCAGTGTTCAAGTGCCCCAAGATGTGCATGCACACCTTCAACGGGGCAGTCCCTCATCCCAATTTTGCTTCAGATCTTCCTCTTGGCTCTACTGCCCAGTTCCTTCGCTCCCAACACCAGCCAGTCTCTTTGCCAGAGCTGTTCTACCTCTACCTCTTACCTCATGTTCCAGTACACTGTGGTCGACGTAGCGCTTCCCCTCCCATTTTTCACAGCATCTCCCATCCCATGCCACCCCGTCCCAGCCCACGTCCGTCTCCAGCTCACAGCACACTCCAGGCTCTGCCCCACCGCCCCTTTCGCTGGGGGAAGGAACACCGCCCCCCGCAGTATTGCCCTCCTGCTCGTTAACCAGATCCAACGCGTCCCGCTGCTGCTGAAAGCTGCGGTTTGAGGGGGAATCTTGCAATATGCTCAAATGGGGCCTTCGGGGAATTTAACAGCTGACACAGGAGTCATCACCACTAAGCATATGTGAACTGCAATTTTTCACAGATGTACTGCGTTGCTAATTATGAGCAGATTTCAAAGGAACAACTAAAGGCGAAATCCATTCACAGTTATAGGTAGCTTCTCCTCAATTCTGTACAGTCTAGGTTTGGGTTTTTTGGCTGTTCATTAGTGTTTTGGGGATTTTTGTACGATTTTTTTGGGTGGTTTCTTTTTTAATCAGGCAGATTATTGAATTGACTCATTCTTGGATGCGAATGAGCTCTTTTGGCTACGAGTCTTAAAAAGAAATCAGCCTGAGACTAGGCTCGGACAGTTCGGTCCAGGCAGTTACATTTCATTAAAGTTACAGCAAGACAAAGCAGGGTATTATAATGCGAAGTACTGGACAAACTTAACCAAATGATCTCACCTCCACTTATAAATTTAGTCAATAACAATTTAAAAAGTGAAGAGATAAGCTTAAGTGACAGTTTTATTTCAAAATAACCCTGTACCTATGTAATTCGGCAAAAATGTCATGAAGAACCTTAGTTACCCATTTTAAATGATCCAAGTTAGCTGTGTGCTCGCACTTTAGCTTCATCCCAACAATGTTACCTACAGCAACAGCATGTCTCTTAAGTCTGCAATTATTTATCTATACATTGATTTAATACCAAGACACATGGCAAAGAACCACTCAGTTAATTACTAATGCAACCGCATCTGCTTCTCTATGCAATCCTCCCCTGCAAGAAGTAAGACCGTAACTCTCCCTTCAAATGCACATGTAGCATGTTTGAATCCATAAAAATAAGATGTTAACAAGCTCTGGAAACACTAAAGCCCCAATTCTCTCTTATGTTTAGTTTATAAAAACCCTGATGTGATCCAAAGGAAGAAGTTAGGGCTACAGGCCAACTTCTGATTTTGAAGAGGCAAGCAGTACAGCTCTGTTCACTCTTGGCTATTTCTAAATAATCACAAAGTGATAGTGCCAGCATCTGCTGAAACAATCTTGTGGAAAAAAAGCAATGGAGATGTGCAAGCGTATAGTTCATCAAACAGTAAACTACTGCAATTAATTACTGGGTGTATTGATAAATAAAGCAGAATCATTCTCATTGATAGCTGGACAGGGTGAACTTGAGGTATGAAGAACTATTACAGTGGATATTCTGCTGCCTGTTTTTTAGTACTCCAGCAGTATAGACGGCAATAAGCTTTGAACCCCTCTGTAGATGAGGTGACAAGATCAGCAATGAGCTTTACAGAATTTTGGGTGTAAATCTGGCTGACTTTCACCAGCCTCGACTGTTAAAGCTTTCTGAGGTTGCAGGAAAAACTGTTCCTTTTTTTCAGAAGTGGACATAATTCACACTAAGCATGCTTTCAAAATAGTAGTTTCCAGAGAAAACAAAATAGCTTAGTGTCCACAAATCAACTTGTGATGCATCAGTTCTTAACCTAGAGGCTATTTGCACTCTGAATCTAATTATGCATCCAAAGTAACCAGTGACCCTAAAAGCTATTACCTTTTCTCCCTACAGAAATGTCTTTCACTTACTAGTCAATAAGCAACTTTAATTTCAAACCTGTTGCTTTTCCATTATATCTATCATGCTACCTTGAGT